ACTTCAAAATATGAGTAGACTAGCATCAAATACATTGGTTTTTATATTATATCTTTTTATCTTTAATCATGGTATATCTTCTCCTGTGTGTCCCATTACCAATTTTGTGAAAAGAGATCATGAAAAAAACAGTAAAACATAGCCAATATTTTAAACTCAGTTTACTGTAATGAAGAGAGTGGCATTAATCTCTTAAAAATCTAGACTCTGTATCATATTTACTAATTTATATCATATACAACAACAATACTAATAGTAAAACTAATTTTACTGAGGACTTCCCTGGTGGCTCAGTGGTAAAGAATTCCCTTAGCAATACAGGAGATGCAGGTTCCATCCCTGGGTCAGGAAGATCCCATGGAGAAGGAAATGGCAACCCACTCCAGTATGCTTGCTGGAAAATCCCATGGACAGAGGAGCCTGGTGGGTTACAGTCCATTGGGTCCCCAAAAAAGTAGGGCATGACTTAGCAACTAAACAACAATATTTGCTGAATAATCTTAATATGTCCTTGTGCAGGAAATATACTCCTTTGAGTTTCCTCTACTCTAACACTACTTAAATTCTCACACTTCTAATGCACCAATGTCTGAGTTTTTCCCATACCAAGCAATTCTGCGACCTAAGCTGGGGGCCCTACATTTTATCCCAGTTCAGGCATGATCTGCTTAGAGATAGCATCAGATCTCTTAGGTTAGGAGTTCAGCCTCACAAACCTGCTTCCTGCCCCCACTTTCATTGCCGGTTGTTAAGTCCAGGTTGTAATCTGTGCTTGTGACCAACCAGCTATGGACTGAAGGTTCCCCCCATGTCTGCCAATTAATTTCTTAAAGCAGATCATAGAACTTAGGAAAAAGTGTTACTTATGTACCTGGTGTATTACAAAAGATTATAAACCAAGGGCGAGAAGGAGCGGGTGAATTGTCCAATACAGTTCAGAAACAGATGGAAGAAATGTATAGGGCAATGTATTTGGAAAGAGGCATAGAGCTTCCATTCCCTCACACGTCACCCACCCTGTACCTCCATACACTGACCAATTCAAAAGTTCTCTGAAGCTCATCCATCGTTTAGGGACTTGCCAAAAGTCAACTTATTAACAGAAACTCATGTGTAGTTGCAAGGAGTTTATTATGAATAACAGAAGACCCATTTCACCTCTGTTGTTCTTATCATTTAGGAAGTTCCACTCGTAGCATCTCTAGATACCAATATCCAGTATAGGATACCTAGAAGTGCTTTTGATGGAGAATTCATCATTAATCAACTTTGAAGTACAGTAACCATAACAGTAAACCAAGTATAGTATCTTTTGTCACAAGAGTGGCAAAAATGTTTTAGCTGATACTGTTCTGTCATATTATTTAAAGTTCCTAACTTCAAGACACACTATTCTTTCTTTTCTTTTGGAATGAAACACCAAACAAAGAAAAAAAGAAAAACCAAAAACCTCAGGGTAGCTCTGATCTAGGCTTAGTCAACTTACTCGTTTGGGACCTTAGACAAGTCACCTCCTCCTTCTGTACCTTGGTTTTCTTGTCTTTGAAAGGTTTAAGCTAGAGTAGATAATGGCTAAAAATCTCCTCCAACTAGGTTTGTTGTTATTGTTTTGTTGCTCAATAGTGTCCAACACTTTTGCTACCCCGTGGATGACAGTCTGCCAGTCCTCTCTTTCAATGGGATTTTTCTAAGCAAGAATGCTAGAGTCTATGTGATCCCATGGACTACAGCCTGCCAGGCTCCTCTGTCCATGGGATTTCCCAGGCAAGAATACTGGGTTGCCATTTCCTTATTTAGTCTCATTAGAAACAGCAAATTACTGAACACAAATTTTGTCACCTGAGTTTAAATGATACTCATGGAAACGTACATGTTATCTAATTCTAAAATTTGTACAAAATACAAATATGTACCAAGTAAGTTTTTCTTCCTCTAGGGTCTAACTAGTAAATTAAGAAATGCTTCTGTCATATCAATATTACTTAAAGTCTCCTATACAGGCAGATATTTATACTTCCTAGGCAAGAGAAATAGTTGACATATTGCTAGATTAATGTATTCTTTATATAGATATATATATACATATATATATATAGTTTATAAACTCATTCCCTGAAAAATGATAGAAATTTGTTTACATGGCATAGTACTTTAGAAAGCAAAAATGTTTCTGTATTATGACAAGCATTATGTCTGTATATAGAAAAGAAATCTGAGGTCAAATAACCACTATCTTTAATAACTGCTGTGTCACAGAGTAAATTTAAAATGCTTTTTTTTTTTTTTTTACGAATCGTTACTATCCCGCTTCAGCATCATGAGAACTGACCTCCCCTTGGGAACAAATTTTATGTTTTAAGCCTTGTTTCTTTTACATTAAATCACATTGCCATCGTAGAATTTTGCTTGATATCGCATGACCACATGAGACCTAGCATTTCGTGTGACCTTTTGCATATGAACTACCTGAAAAATTTACAGAAGTCACACAAATCTGATAGTACTGTTATCACTGATGGTTAAAATGGTGTCCCAGTGATTTGTAGATGTTGTGAACACTACTTGCTTTTGTTTTTCCCAGTCCCCTGCTGCATTGAAGTTTAATTGGTTTTCTGTATTTTTTGCAGCAGAGCTGTCACAGACAATAACATATTTTTTGCAAATGTATCAGTTTGGCTCTAGTGAAGATTTTTGTTCACACTGGACTCCTACTGATGTGCACTGATTTAAAGTCTAAAAATGAAACTTACTTTTATACAGCTTATAAGTAGTCCCTAGAGGGTACTGGATCCTAAAAGCTAATATTTTTCAGACATAATCAGCAGGAATAAGTAATGTACTACCATTAGTGACATTAACAGCAATGTAACAGAAGGAAACAATAAACATAAATGTTCTTAGCAACTTTATACTTTACAGCAAATATTAATATAAAATTACACAAATTAGAACTGCAGTGTAACACTATTCAACACGTTTATTCATAATGATTGTTTCATATTTAAAGAACACCAAAATATTGTGTTTTGTCAGCCAAGGACAATAATAGTTTAATAGTAATTTATTTTAAACAGCTACTGATAATACAACCAATCAACACATTAAGTGGTGCCAACATTGGCATCTTGCTAAATAATCTCTAGACATTGCAGAGAGAGTACATCTTTCAAAGATAAGTCAACAAGAGCAATCAGAGCAGAAAATTAGAATTTGGTATCTTAGAATTAAAATACAGCTAAACTAAAGTTTTAATTGGGGTGATCTAAAAGGGCACTTGATGTAATGATCTCTTTCATTTGTTACTAATTGTTTGTTCCTGATGAAGAAGAAACATATACAGGAATATTGCTGAATTAAGATGGCAGTTTCCTTAGCAGCTATGTTTTATTGTTAAAAACAAAAGAATAGAGAGAAGTGAGCTGCCAGCCAGCTTCTTTCCTATCACAAAAATTAATCCAGAAAATTCAGAGTCAGTTATATCAAATATTAAATATTAATAGCTTATATGTGCTTGAAAAGAAACTTAAAAAGACTTGTGACAATTGGTGGGCTGAGCTCAAGGTACATTCCTATTGCAGTAGCAAGTCAAGCTGGAACTGAAATGTATGAATCAAACTTCTTATGTTGTATCCTACAAAGGGGTAAAGGGGTCTCCAATATATCTACAACTGGCATTAACTGCCATTTCATTTCTAATTTCAATTGAAAAATTCAGCTGCTGATGTTCACAAACAAAAGCAAAGCATCTTTTCCAAAAGGGCATTTTGAATTGCTGAGTTGAGACAGATTGAAATCTTAGCTCCTATTTTTACTAATAATTTTAGTAATAATTTTCTAATGTATCTTAGCAGAGAACACATGCAGAATGCTTTGCATATGTTTTATATATTCTCATAATCTCATTTTTTAAAATTTCAGAATATTACTCATATGTTAATATAGCATATAGTCAAATTATATATACATTATTTTATAATCAGTTATATAAGTAGATATAATTTGCTTTTGCCATATACTATTATTATATATACTGTTAAATATTCCCCTAAAATTTATCCTCTGTTTAGAGCCATTTTGATGGATTTTTTAAAAAATAATGCATTACTAAGCCATGAAGTTTTGGATCCCTGATGCATATTATATATCTCAAGAAATATATACCGTATTATAATTTCTGTTCAATAAATTTTTGAAGTCTACTGTATAGTAGGCACTCTCTGGGTTTTAGTAACCATAGTACCCAATGAGAGAAAATGTCTATGCCTCAGAGAACTTACATTTCAGTGAAGAAGATGCAAAATATGGCGCTAAACAAATAAATAGATGACAATATTACATAATAAGGGGTATGAAGAATTTTAAGGAGGGAATAAAAAGGTGAGTTTGGAGGGCTAGTCCAGATAAGCTGTGAAGAGAAAGAGTTTTCCCCAGTGATGATTGAACAAAGATGAAATGAATGTAGGAGTGAACCATGCAAAACATGGGAAGAAAAGCATTCAGGAGGGAAATAGAGAGCCAAGTGCCTGGTGCAGAAACAAACTGGTGTCTTAAGAAACAAATGGCCACTCATGTTGTATATAATCTCAGTAGGGAGTGGTAGAGAATGAGTCCTGCGAGAAAGGTGGGTATTGCTAACATCGCATGGGGTTACATAAACTATGTCAGATAATTACACATGGAACAAATCAGTCTAATTTTCTTCACAATATTTAATTTTAAGATACACTTATGTGTTGCCCTCATGTAGTATTAAACCTAGATATTCTAATTAGAAGCAATTGAACCTGCATGCCAAAAATATTTGTCTTCCTAAAATAGTTTAATTAAACTTAGAAAAAGTTTGCTTTACTTTTGCTATTTGTCTTAGTGAGTACAGAGTGACTGCACAACAGGAATGAAGGTATTTGATAAGTGGGCTGTTCTCTTTTAAAATGTTAAAGTAATGAATGAACTGTGCTGCATACCAAAATATTATAATTCTGAATGCCTTCTTTGTACAGGGGCTCTTGAAAGTTGCCATAGATAATGCCAGAGCTCAAGAAAAACAGGTTCAACTTGAAAAAACAGAACTGAAGATGGATTTTTTAAGGGAAAGAGAACTAAGGGAGACACTTGAGAAGCAGTTGGCAATGGAACAAAAGAATAGAGGTATTTTTAAACTTCCAAACAAGTTTAATACTTAGCATCAAATGTTCAACATAACAATATTTCGTGATTTACTATGAAACTGTAACTTTTTTGTTTTTACTTGTAGCTAAAGTTTAGTGCAGGATTTGAATCCTGAGCTTAACCTTCAAAGTACATGGTTTCTCTTCCCTTCGTACCTCAAAAAACTGAAATATATCCATTATATCATTAATCGCATAATTTTTATTGCTTATAGATTTAACCAATTCATAATTTTAAGATAAGAAGGAGTTCTGATGACAGTCATGAAGAAAAATTCTATATTTATTCATAATTGCCCTTTGAAAAACTTGAGCTAAAGTCATAAAGCTAAAATAGAAAAATAGTGATTATTCAAGCGAGGCAGATTTAGTGAGATTTTTATCAACTGAAATGGAAGACTGATGAATATCTGAACAAATGACCAAAGTTGAGTATTTGTATAATTTTCTTTCTGAATGCCTCATTTTCATCCAACAAGGTCAAATACACATCAGAGTAGAAACTGATGTGAATTTTTATTGGGTAAAAATAATGTCATTATCAGTCAATGAACTGCTTCTTTTTACACACTTTACAGTGCATGTTTAGATAATTTTGAAGGTCATTCATATTTGTATGCTTATTTTATGTATGAGATCCAAGAGTATTGTCTTTACAATCAACTTCCCCTCTGTTTCAACTCTAAAGTTCTCCTCAGTGTTTAAAAGGGGAAACTCCTTTTCTCTCATTTAATAAGTATCCACTGTAAATACTCCACACTTTCCTCTGATATGTGTGACATGGTCATTTAAAAATCATTCTTTCTTTCAAAACTGGCAGAATTAATAGGCTTTTTATTTGTTGCTGTGAAGCAATAGTTAGTCAGTTCCCAGGATGAGGCTGATTTGGGCAGCTGGCATTCTGGGTGCAGAGCACTGTTCTAAGTAATGTGACTTCACATAGATTTAGCTACTAGAGTAAGCAAAACAAGATAAATGTTGATGGTGGGATATGTTCTGAGTAATGAATATGGTCAAAGGGTTCGTTCTTTGGAACCACCTTCCATGAGATAGCCATGTCGCAATTTTGTTCTCACCTGGAGAAGCCTTTTTCAAACAAGACTTAAAAACAGAACCTTGAATTCTTAAAGTAACCTTTTGGTTACTTGAGAGATTTTCAGAATTGTGTTAGCTTACAACTGTTGGAAGATTTACATTGTTTTATTCCTTTAACCACTAAAGGTATAGGACAAAATGTTTCACAGACACCATCATGAACCTACCATTTAATTCATTATGAACAAGTTAAAGGTAATAACTATCAATAATGATCTATATGAATGTGTCAATGGAAGCCGTGTGTTACCCTGAAGAGAGAAACATGGCAACCCCATTTCCTTCAATCCTGTACGAAGAAACAAAGAACAGTCAATGGCAAGGCACTGGCATTGAGCTTTTAGTGCCATGGGAATAAATAATCCAAATAAATAATTCAGCAACTTCTGTTTCTTTTCAAAGAGACAATATAAGCAATCATCTTTAGAAAGGAAAAGAGTAGGCAAGTAACTTTGTTAAGATTTTCATAGTATTAAATAAAGGAAATTAGCATTTATTTGAAAGCAGGTTTGTTTTTTCTTATAAGATTTGACTCAATGTAAAAACAATTTTCTGTAAATATATGCTACCAGCAACAATAAACTGTAAGATAATGGTCTGCCATTTTAATAATATTGATTATAAAAATAGAATTTGTGGAAACTGGAAATTCCAAGTAACACTCTTACATGAGCCATTATTACCTTTTTTGATGTCTTGACCGAATACTACACTAGGTAAAAAATGTTGCTTGTTAATCTGTAGTGATTATACAATAAATTTGGAATGGTTACTTATCACTTAATTCTGCCAGAAGGATTTTCTCATACTAATTCTGTCGCATTCATATACACAATGTTATCAACCATCCAGAAAAAAAATTATTTCAAAGAAAATACTTTTATGCTTTCCATATGCTAATTGGTGACTTTATATATAGTTTATAAGTTAAAGCAATGATCAATTATTATATGTATGAAAGTACAGTTAACATACATTTGTGAAGAAGATTTGTTATTAATTATTGATTACATATTATGTACAAATACTTAAATTGGTCAGTAGGAAAAGAATTCACCATAATTAACTTTTTGTATCATTGGCAACATTTTTATGTAAGTAGCAGTGAAGTTTTATATTCATCAAATTCCTACAGTCTAAAAGTGTAACTTTCCTGAAATATATTATAGTGGATATACATCTGCTATGAAATTATTAATATCTCTAAGCAAATTGCAATAGTTTCATCAAAATGTCTGTTTATATATATATATTAACAATAATAATATTTAGCTCCATATATACAATCATATTTATTACATTGTCTAAAATTTCAACAAAGAATTATTAAAAATTTTGCTGGTATAACATTTTTGTAAAGATAGGGGAAATGCTCCGTTTACTACTCAAAATTGATGTTTCATAAAGAAAGACTAACCTTAAAGGTTTATACTATTCAGACTATTTTGCATTTGTCTGATTCAAGGGCAGAGACTAAACTACAAAATTTATTTAATCAGACTTCTTTTATTAGTGAGTATAAATATTTATTAAAATTAGTTTCCCATTAAAACTGTCTCCACATATGATAATTAAAGGCATTCTTGTAATAGTTCAAGGCTAAACAAAAATTGGCCTTCATGGACATTTTACTGAGATTTATTTTAGGTAAAAGTGGGTTATTGCTGCTTTTTTTTGTTTTGTTTTGTTTAAACTTCCTCTGCACAGACAGGTACAGTCCAGCAGGGGGGAAAAATAATATCATTTTTAAAATAGAGACCATTTGTGGAAATGTGAATATTGCAGAAATTATGAAAAATAATAATGTATATATACCCTTTTCTAGCCATAGTTCAAAAGAGGCTAAAGAAGGAGAAGAAGGCAAAGAGAAAATTGCAGGAAGCACTTGAATTTGAGACAAAACGGCGTGAGCAAGCCGAACAAACACTAAAACAGGCAGCTTCAACAGATAGTCTCAGGGTCTTAAATGGTAAGAGGATGTGTCTTTATGCATGGCTAAGTAACTTTCATTGTGAATACTCAAAAGGCAATTTAAATGTGTTTGTGGGTTTGTATTTCTATGACTGTTGATTCATTAAGCTCTTTTTGAAAGCATGGTGGAAAGAAAAGTCACATGTGTTGGGGGAAATGTTTTATTTCATGGGTGCTTCCACAGTTTTGTTGCTTCAGTATCTGAAATGACATTGCTTTTCTATTTAACCAATTCTGTCTGTACTGAAACATAATAAAATATTAATATGAGAAGTTCTCAACCCCCCCATCTCATTTTCTGAACAATTTTGCATTATTTATCCATTCAAATCTTCTGATAATTCTCATGGTTATAGTCTTTGTTCAACCTTTAAAAGATGACAAAGATTTATGTAATTTTAATTCAGCACCAAAGTAACAGGTTGCTTTTTTTTTTAAAGGACAATGGGAATCAAATGAAATGTGTGTCACTCTTACCTTTCTCTGCTTTTAGACTCTCTGACCCCAGAGATAGAAGCTGACCGCAGTGGCGGCAGAACAGATGCCGAAAGGACAATACAAGGTGGGAATTTGCAAAAGGCTATAAATCTAGATCTTGCTCTATGAGTTTTTCCTCTGCTTTAGCCTGCTATTCAAGCATGTAGCCTACCATCTGGGCCACATCAAAACAAGTTCAAACAAGGTCAAGTTCATCTTGCTTGTTTATATGAGTGAATTCATTTTGTGCTGATAGATTTTCTTTAAATTAACAGGTCATTTCTGTTTATACAATGCAATTAAAAAGGAATAATTAATTTTAAACAATGTATGATTTAATTCTTGAACACAGTAAATGTGTTTTATTGAATGTCTGAAGCCCAATCTAATAGATGAAAGTTTTATAAATTCTATATCAATAAAATCATGAGTTAACTAGGGAGTTCTTAAAATTTGAAATTATCTTCTTTTTGTTCTGGTGACAACTAATGCAAGGTACATGTAAAATAAACCAGGTAAAATCTAACAATAAATAAGATTGTTTAATCCTATGTGGACTTTCCAAGTGGACTGTGTGCCATTATATACATTTTAATAACACAAATCTGCTGAGCAAAATCATATAGAGAATACTAAAGGGAGTTTTATTAAACACTCAGAAAAGCAAAATATGTATATTGCCAAGACCACGCTATTAGGAGAGAACAAAATCTGAAGGTAGCATTTATAGTCTCACATCTATTCTAGACAATAAACTCAATCTAACAACATGAATACTAAACAGTAAAAAGAGCATTAAATGAAAATGATTCTTCAAAGGGAAGCCTAAAATGATTAACTGCTATAATCCCCCCAGTTGCTTTTATTTTGCATTTTAAGTTCATTCATTTGGGGGATATTGTTTGACATTAATCGTGTTATTCAGTCAGTTCCAAAAGTATCATTCTTAGTTTACTATAAAGGAAATATAATTGTGTAAAGTATCATATATGCAATACATAAAAATCAGAAACTAGAGACATTCCTAGAGAATGTTTTTTGTGTATTAATTGATTTTACCATGATAATTATTTTTTAAATCCTAAGGTTTGAACCATATGTTATTATGAGACATCTTGTAGAAAAGATTTCATTTTTTAGAGCATTATGTGTTTCAGCAAAATTACAGATATCTGTGACTATGAAATTATTAAACTCAAAGGATCTATGTTGCTTTGTAAAGAATGGCATGCGTATGTTAACAAATTACTAATGACAAAGCCAGTCCTCTATATCAGGGACAGTAAGTCCAGTGTGAACTATCAGAACTATGGTCTGTGTATTTGGGGACTCCTCAGGCACTAACTTAGTTAAGGTCCAAAGTGCTGGACATAAAAAAGCACATACGCCTCCTGGTAGATGTGATATATAAATTATCTGATATTCACAGAATCCTCAAGGCGATTAGAATTCAACAAGAAAAAGTATGGACACTACATTCTTTCATATACATGGAAAGTTTAAGAAGGCATTAGGCAACAATTAAACATTTCTGCAAAGTTGATGTAATATATATTTCATGAGTTTGCTATTAGCAGTATTTGGATCATCAGTAAGGCTATAATTATTTCATCTGAATTTGTAAAACACATATTCGGACGTATATGTCAATATGGGATAAGGTCTTGCTGTATAGGTCAGTTTTGACTACTTTCAATTTCTATTATGATTTATTTATACTCTGAAGAAAATTTTTAGTCATAAATTGCATTCTTTCTGCCATCCAGAATGTTACACATAACACAGAAAACCCCCTCAAACAACTCTATAACTTAAGAAAGGAGAAACATTTGAATGACAATTATACATAGTTACTTAAAGCAAATATTGTTTTTTATGGGGTTATTTATTGCATTTTCTTAATTGTAATATGAAACATTTTTCAATTATTTCATTCATCTTGTCAGTTAAAAAGATGAGTTCCTTAAGTCTAATATAATCAATAATATTCTAATTTTTGTGCACTTACACTTGAATTTAATGATTTTTCTGATAATCATACACTTCAATGAAAGGTTTTCTGCAAGATACCTTAATATTAATGATTTTAATTATATAATGTGAATTTTTCTCAAATGTAATCTAAAAGACACACGTAGATGAATCTGTGTTTCTATATGTTAGTTAACTGTTGGTTATCTCACTTGACACTACCCAACACTTTTAAAATACCAAAGCAAAGAGATCATCTTTTGCTAGTCTAACCCAACTAAATGAGTTCATTTAGTCCTTTGAAACATTTTTTTTTTTAACCTTGGAAACTAAATTCATAGATTTAGAAGCTAACAAAATACCAAAATTAATGATGCAGAGAAGATATCAAAGAACAAGGACTGTGTTTAGTAAAATGAGGATTCTAAGTTCAAGAATGGGAAAGGCAAAGGAAAAGGAACCAGAACTCACTGCTAATTTGTGAAATGGTCTATATCAGACATTTTGGCAGCTGTAAGCACATGTTGCTTCACAACTCATGAATGACATGAACACAGCCCTGCTCCCTTCCCAGGAGTCATGAGTCTTTGTATTCTTTCTTGCTCCCAATCCAACCATAATTGAAATTATTCTGTATTCCAAAATAAGCACAACTTAATTATGAATGAAAAAGGAAACACATCTCTTTATACTTGCCATGTACTTACTCATTTTTAATATTTTGTTAATAAATGAGCCATATTTGGCCCATGAGTTAGTCACCTAGCAGTCAGGTACTTAAATACTACTCAGTTACCCCCAAGTAAATGTTGCTTCATCAGTATTTAGTAGCATCATTTCTGTAAAAGTACAGAGGTGGGGAAGAGGAAAACAGAAAGCAACTTAGAAACTATTGATGAGCAAGAGGTTCTAAATAATTTATTTATCTGGATAAGTAATGTAAATCAGCTTATACTATACAGGAATAAAGTTTTCATTACTGATAATTCTGGTAACTAAACTCAAAATTCATAAGCTTGGTGGAAATTTAATGAATATATATATATCTAGTTCAGTTCAGTTGCTCAGTTGTGTCTGACTCTTTGCAACCCCGTGAACCACAGCACGCCAGGCCACCCTGTCCATCACCAACTCCCGGAGTTCACACAAACCCATGTCCATTGAGTTGATAATGCCATCCAAGCATATCATCCTCTGTCGTCCCCTTCTCCTCCTGCCCTCAATCTTTCTCAGCATCAGGATCTTGTCCAATGAGTCGGTTCTTCACATCAGGTGGCCAAAGTATTGGAGTTTCAGCTTCAACATCATCCTACCAATGAACACCCAGGACTGATCGCCTTTAGGATGGACTGGTTGGATTTCCTTGCAGTCCAAGGGACTTTCAAGAGCTTTCTCCAACACCACAGTTCAAAAGCATCAATTCTTCAGTGCTCAGTTTTCTTTATAGTCCAACTCTCACATCCATACACGACTACTGGAAAAACCATAGTCTTGATTAGACGGACCTTTATTGACAAAGTAATGTCTCTGCTTTTTAATATGCTGTCTAGGTTGATCATAACTTTCCTCCCAGGGAGTCAGTCAGTCAGTTCAGTCGCTCAGTCATGTCCCACTCTCTGCGACCCCCATGAATCGCAGCACTCCAGGGCTCCCTGTCCATCACCAACTCCCGGAGTTTACTCAAACTCATGTCCATTGAGTCAGTGATGCCGTCCAGCCATCTCATCCTCTGTCATCCTCTTCTCCTCCTGCCCCCAATGAGTAAGCGCCTTTTAATTTCATGGCTGCAGTCACCATCTGCAGTGATTTTGGAGCCCAGAAAAGTAAAGTCATCCACTGTTTCCATGGTTTCCCCATCTATTTGCCATGAAGTGATGGGACCAGATGCCATGATCTTAGTTTTCTGAATGTTGAGCTTTAAGCCAACTTTTTCACTCTCCTCTTTCACTTTCATNATGGACTATACAGTCCATGGAATTCTCCAGGCCAGAATACTGGAGTGGGTAGCTGTTCCCTTCTCCAGGGGATCTTCCCAATGCAGGGCTCAAACCCGCATCTTCCACATTGCAGGCGGATTCTTTACCAACTGAGCTATCAGGGAAGCCCTGTATATATATGGTGATTTAGTCCCTAAGTCGTGTCCTACTCTTGCGATTCCATGGACTGTAGCCTGCTAGGCTCCTCTGTCCATGGGATTTTCCAGGCAACGATACTGAAATAGTTTGCCATTTCCTTCTCCAGGGGATCTTCCCAACCCTGGGATTGAACCTGGGTATCCTACACTGCAGGCAAATTCTTTACTGACTGAGCTACCAGGAAAGTCCTGGTATATATATATATATATATATATACACATATACCCAGTATACAGAGTAAGTATAAATACTTATATAACTGTTATTTGGAGTAGTTAATAAATATCCTCCAAATCCTGAGTCCCTCACACATATGAATGCATATCTACACAATGTATGCAGCCAAATCTATAATGAGTTCCTTCTACTGAATCCTAGTCTCTCATTTTTTAGTAGCTTCCACTTAGATGATTTAAGCTATATCTTTTAACAGTTTAAGAAATGTCTCTCCAGCCAATCCAGACATCTGTTAAGAGTTCCAAATAATATCCAGTTGGAATTTGGGTATCTCACAGGGACCTCAAAGTCCAGCGCACAAAAGCTAAAGGATCCTTCACCCTCTTCCTCCTGCCGACCTGTTTTCTCCTACTTTCCTTCCCTGTGTTTCTCTCTACTGCCCAATCCAATAGCCTCCTTAATATACAACGAGCAAAGTGAAGCTTGGTGGCCCCCTCCATTGTCTTTTACACACAAGCCTGACTTTTGCCCTTCACTCTCTGTTCTTCTGTCATTGATTTTTTTTTTTTTAATCTAGAAAGCATTACATCTTTCTCCACCTTCCAGTGGCATTTCTCTCTCTTTCCTGCCTTTACTTACTCATCCTTTAAGTCTCATCTTAGAAGTCACAGAAAGGCTTTTCAGATTCCACATATACCCCTGCAGCTCCTCCCTACCCCTCTTCACAGAGGTTTTTACCATATCTTCTCCACCATCACAGCTGTGCATTGGTAGTCACTTTTGAAATATTTTCTTCTTCCTT